GGATTCCCCTAGAAGACCAATCTTAGCACAGGTTCCCTAAGACCTGACCACCACTGAAAGAGGGGCATTCTTCCCATTGACTCCCAGTGTAAGGTACACTTTCCCAATGACCCACTGATGGACCATGTTTAGCAGAGGTTCCCTAAGACCTGAAACTTATTTCAAGGGTTCCTCTAGGGTAAAAAGGTTGAGAAAGGCTGCTCTATACTGCTGAACAGAAGCAAAACATATAAAGCAGTCACCATGCTTCTTCTTCTAAGACAACATTCCTGATGTGATTTCTCAAAAGAAACAAGAACTGTCGGAGCATAAATAGAAGTTGTCATTCAATACTGCCGGGCACCATAATATCTCAATACAGCCCAGCCAACATGTAAGCAGCAACAATAATATAACAATAAATTCAACCAATCCTTCAGTTTAGTGATTATTGACCAATGGCTAATTTCACACCTTTCCTTTATTTAAAAAATCAGAACCATCCCACATGCAGGTATCTTGTGAGAATCAAGACACAAAGAAAGAAATTAGTTATTTGTTTTCAGGGCTGGACCAGGATGAAAAGTTGCCGTGGTACACAGCTCCCATTTACGTATGTGAGTGAACTTTGATCACTCACTGTGCAGCTTGTATTAGTGTTTATCTATTATCACCATAACTGATTAAGTTTCAGATTGAGGGTCAACTATAGACTATGAAGGCTCTTTGTACTCGCACGGCTTTCGGATGTTAGAGAGGGGTGAACTTTAGAAAAAGTGACACAATCATGACCATAGACAGGTGTATTTGTACTGATGGGGGCAGGTTTAGTTTGGGCGGCATGCGGATTTTCCCCTTGGTTCTAACCCTTACGTTTTAAGACTAAGCTTGCTTTGGCAGACCTTTTTCTCCTGCTGCTGCATATTATTTTTGATGATGATTTGTTTGCTATTTTTTTTTTTATTCAGAGTAGTACTAAACTCCCTGAATTTCCATGTGGACTATACTATCAGGGAAACATTTCCTAGCAATTATTTTACAGCATATATATTTGTAAGCAATTGCAATCAGTGCTCCTCAATACTGCAATTTCCAGGTTTCTTCCAGTTTGAGGAGTGCTCCCCTAGTTTTTGGGTTGAGTATGGAAGGGGTACAACCACTTTCAGGTAGCAACCTGCTTGGGTTCTACTTGTAGCATGTATATACCAAAACAAGTCGACAAGTGGGGCAAATACCTGAGGTGGCAATAATCCAGTCAACATCTTGTATGCTAATGAGAGTTAGGAAAATTAAATTAAAGCAAAGTCAGAAAAGCAAAATTTAAATCTGATAAAGTAAAATGTCCCCAGGCTTTTTTTTTTCTAAAAACCCTGTCACCATCTCAAAACGTTGCAGGTAAAAGCACAGAAAAATCAAGTATTTGTAGTATTTTACCACTCCATAAACAATTTTTTTATTCACTTGCAATGTGCCTTTGAACTTTGACTACTCCAGGAAGAGTCAACTCTCTAGAGCTCCCACCCTCCGTCCATTTATTAGCCACTTCTGAGAGTTTCTTATTAATGTTGTGTTGGCCCAGCTCTTCTCCTCCCACCTCCCTACAAAGGAGTATAGGGGAATACTATGGAGCAGCCATTCTCAGCTAGGGTTCTAGCTTGCAGAGGTTGATAGGTTTCCTTGAGCTGTGCCTATTTGATGGTGCCTGCATAGTTTTGCAGTACACCAATGATCTTTTTAGCTGTCTGTAAATGAGGCATTCTGACCTCCAGCCATTCTCAACCAGGTTTATGTGAAACCCTAGGGTTCCTTCAGAGGTGGATAGAGGTTTCTTGAGCTGTGGCTGATTGACCTCCTATTTGGTTCCTGTATAGTTCCAGGACCAACACCACTTGGCAGAGACAGTTGCATTATATCAGGTTATCTTTTTAACTGTCTGTAATTGGGGCTTTCTGAACTCCAGCTATTCTCAGTCAGGGTTCTGTGGAATTCTATGGCTTCTTCAGAGGCTGCTAGTGGTTCCTTAAGCTCTGGCTATTTGATGATGCATGCATAGTTCTGGGACCAATAGCACTTGGAAGAGCCAGTTGATTACTCCAATTATCTTTTTTTGCTGTCTGTAAGGGTGGCATTCTGACCTCCAGTGTAGTCGAAGCATTCTTCCCTGTGGCAAACCAATATAAGGGGCATTCTTTCCACTGAATCCCAAAACAGTTGATTTTAGAGGGGGTTCCCCATGACCTGAAAATTATTTCAAGGGTTCCTCTGAAGTAAAAAGGTTGAGAAAGGCTGCTATAGAGTGTCACTTGAATGACAACTCTGAGTCTGCTGGGGCTGCTGACATCACATCCAAGATGGGGATACCCAGCAACAGTCCTAGGGCTTTTTTTGAATGTCTACACAAGGGAGGATTTTAATGGAAAATAACAGGCATAAATAAGTTAAAGGCACATATACACTTATGGGAAGTATTAAAATGAATGGACTGGCAACAGGGTCTCTTTAAACCTGAGCTTACTTCACAGTTAGCAACAATCCTTCCATGATCTGCCTAAAAAACACACGTCCATCACATTTATTACAGTAATAGAGAATAATAATAATAATAATAATAATAAGCATGACATACAATAAATCCCAGGTATCCCTTCTTTTTCGCAAAGTCACAAAATATAGCATTTTCTCCTTCTTTGTCTTAGTAAAAACTAACTATATACATTTTTTTTCCTCAAAAAAATAAAAATCACTTTTTTTTGCGGCACAGAAATATTTATAACAAAATAGGAAATCTGTATTATTTAAAAGCTCACGAGCGTGGTATGTTTGCTGCTAGGGATACTGGGATGGGAAGCACAAAGGTGTTGTATCACATTAATAGCTCGGATGAACAGAATGGATCAGAAATTAGGAGAATTTTGGTAGTTTGCTCACAAAAAGTCCTATTATGTCCTATAAGTAATACTGTAGGCATTTTTTGTTATATTTTAAGTCAGCACCCACAATGCATCACACCAAAGGCATCTTCCCAGCATGTCATTTTCTTTTGTATGGTTGTCAGCTAAATGGATTTGGAAGAATAAAACTTAGGAGACATCTGTTTCTTGCATGGGCATATCAGTAGAGATATTATATATATTTTCAACATATATATAAGTATATGTATATAAATGGGATGTATTAAGTTTGCAATCTATGTTCCCTTTCAGACCCCAATAGTCTTAGAGGCACCTTTTGGGCCCAGTTTCCTTTAACACTCTCTGACAGAAAGACGTGTGAAATACATGCAAGCAGAAGAATGGATGGGTATGCAGTGAATTTTTCATTGGTTGATGCATAGATTGGTGGGCCTTATTTAGCAGAATGTCTGAACGAAGAACTGAAAGTATACAAGTGGGCACCAACCCATAGAGTGAGTCCAGAGTGCCATTGGTTGTTCCCAGTACCAGCACTCAAAAAGATCCCCGTGTCTCAAGGATAAACTCTCCCTTCATCATGGCTTAGAAGAATAAAGACTTGAACAGACTCAATAGAAACCAGATTCAAATGGATCTATACTTGATCTGGTGCAAAGTCTCCTTTTGGATTGGAAGTTTAACTGTTACAACAATATAACCAGTTCTTGTAGACATTTTAATAAATAAGGTGTGCAGTTTCTAGAGGCACAAAATGGCTGCTTGCCACGGCAGCGCCCATAGCAACAGATCTCCCTTCTCACAAGGGACATATTCTAAAAATGAGCAGCAATTTAGAGTTATACATGGTTATTAATACTGGTGGTTCCCATTGGGGGTCACCTGTAGATACATCATACATGTACATATACAGTATACTAATAGAAAAAAAATAAGAAGTGCAAATTCAGCTTTTTGCCGGTGATGAATCTCAGTTTACCAAATGTGCCAAGTAAAAAGTCATGACAATGTCAGCCTGTTGTACTGCTGCTGGGCATGACGAACACAGCTACGCTATGAGACATTAGCACATATAGGGGGGTTAATTTCGTCACAGCTAAAGCCATCACTTTGATCCTCCGAGATACAACTGTTGTTTACGCTGACAAGCCCAGCACTGAAGTGCATTTTGGGTGCCTGTCTTTCCATTTGTTTTCAGGGATATTTTAGGATGTATGTTCCTGGAAGTAAAGGAAGATGGGGATTGAGTTTGATATTGGAAAAGCATTTGGCAAGCTCCCCCCTATATGGCAGGTCTGCAGAGTAATATGTGTTCTCCATATCCCATTTGGCATTAATATTCCCTTACAGCTACGTACATCCCTATCATTAAAGCCATCCAAAGCTATCTTAAGCTGCTATACAATGTCTTTTTGGCATTGGTTGGGTGAAATTCTCTTTAGAGCACAGCAGCACATTAGCTTTCCTAAAGAACCAGTCACTATTTATACATTCAATACTAGCCGCTTGTGGTTCTACTACCATCTATAAGATTAATCTCCATTGATGGACACTCTATGAATCATATATGAAGCCACTCCTGGCTCTACTACCATCTACAAGACTGATCTCCATTGATGGACACTCTATGAATCATATGTAAAGCCACTCATGGTTCTACTACCATCTACAAGACTGATCTCCGTTGATGGATATTCTATGAATCATATATAAAGTCTAGACATTTTGATGACCTGATATAATATCAAAACAAAAGAGAATTTCACCAACCTGCCCACTAAACATTCTTCCAAATGGAAGAGAATGTACCAGAACACTACATTACTACTCCATTAACTTTGTTTGGTTACCCTTGTTTGGGTTAGGATAACCAAGATAATTTTGTTCTATAGATCCACATTTTGGATGGCGCTCCTCCTCTGTTTCTTAGAGGAATCCATCATAAGTAGAAGAAGCTATGTGGGATTTAAATGTCTTTTCATGGCTTCAATAATTAGAAGAGATGTATGCTTGGGGAAATTAGTGTCAGTTCTTGTCAGTCTGGATCAATGAGAAGATGAAAGGTGAAACAGGTATAAGACTTCACGGAGTCATGGCTGGTGAAGATTGGCTTCACATGACGCTCTCAAAGATTATGACTTTGTTGTCTGAAACAGGGCTCAAGCTGGTCAGGCTCTTGATGTCTTGATCAGGTACCATGTATTCTAAATGGTGAGCTCCCCATATGGGCTCTGTCAATCGCTGCCAGCGCTGTAGGAAAATATAAGCAAAATATATAAGTGTCTGTGTTGACCTCCTTATGGAGATGCTAGTATGCTGTCATGCCTTAAACCACTGACTTGCAGCAAACATGCAGCCACTGAATTCATAATAAAGACCTGCATGCTTGTTCAAGGTCACTGACTTAGAAGAACAGTAAAGACAATCTCTGTGTTTTTTCTCATTCCTTTAAAGCCCAGTTGAGTTTTCAGTTTAAATGAGCTAAATACATTCCAGGTGCCTAAAAACAAAAGGTATGCAATGTATGTTTTCTTTAGAAAGCAGACACAGCTGCTGAGTAGAAAAGCCTTTACCCTGCCAGATGCAAAGAAGGGCCCTTGGTCTGGTTGTGGAAGCAGTGTGCTCTCTGCATTAGTTTGATTAAATACAAAGATAGGTCACTTACTTCTTTCAGCGTCCCCTTGGCACGTGTGATTTTATAGATGAAGGTCACAGGGACACAAAGCATGGACAACAAAGCAAAGCACCAGCCTATGGCTTCACCCCACCATGGGTATGTGTAGGTCTTATTGTATGTCAAAGGCTTGTAGTTCACTAGGTTGAAGATAAATATCGCCTGTATAATAGAATGTAGGGCAATGGTTACAAAATATTCCGAATTTGTGTCCTAGTGCAGCTTGGTCTGGTTCTCAAGATCATGCACAATGACCTCTAAAGAAAGTTTTACATCTCTAACATGCAGGCAAAACCCATATATAAAGTCTTTCAGGTACTCCCCTCTCTTTGCTATACTTAATTCTTTACCTTCCCTCATCTTGTTATACTCCTCTCCACCATCCCTGCTCTTCTTGTAATATTCACCTGTCCACCTTCCCTCCACTTCTTGTTATACCTACCAGTCCAGCATCCTTCCTCTTCTTGTTATACTCATCTATCCACCATCTTTCCTCTTCTTACTATGCTCACCTCCCTATCATCTTTCCTCTTGTTGTACTGACCTCTCCACCATCCCTCTTCTTTTCGTTAGACTCACCTTTCTACCATCCTTCCTCTTCTTGGTATACACAATTATCCACCATCCCTCCTCTTCTTGTTATACTCATTTCTTCACCATCCCTCCTCTTTTTGTTATACTTACTTCTCTGCCATCCTTCCTGTTCTTGATACACTCACTTCTCCGCCATCTTATCTCTTCATGTTATACTCACCTCTGCACCATCTCTCTGTTTCCTGTTATACTCACCTCTCTACCACCTCACATTCATTACTTCCAATTTTCCCTTCTCCACCAACCCACAATGTACAACCCTGGCATCCTAGTTGCTCCACATAATAAAGTAGAGATTTTGACAGGGTGAGGACCAAATGGAACACCATTAGCAGTATATATCCAGACCTGCCCTGTCCTATCCTAAGGATTTATCACATTTACATCTGATTTTCTTCCTTCATGGTATGTATGTTTAACAAAAATGCAACATGTTTGTGAATTGCTTTCAAGAGAACCAGTCAAAACTAGATGTTTATAAAACTTAATACATTGTCAGGACCCAGCGCTAAACCTGCAACAGCCTACTGTGTCTGACAATGTCTCTTCTTGCTGAGCCACCCGGAATGCTAGACAGCACCCTGGACAATTCCTTGAATGAGCCTACCTTGAACCTTGTTTGTCTTGAACCTTCATTCCTTTTGCTCCTCCCATGAACTTCCTATTAAAGCCATGCCTTTGCACTTCCGGTTTGCCAGATTATTGTGCTCTCTCCAGCCAATATCTCGCTTTTGTTTCTCCTGCTGACGTCCATAACCTTGCTACTACTCGTTACCGACCTTTGGCTTGTTCCTGGACAACGCTTATGCCTGATTGCAACCTGCAACCACTTGTTACGGACCTTTGGCTTGTTTACTGATTTCGCTTCTGCTTGATCCCTACCTACTTTATCTGCTCCTAGACCCCGGCTTGCTCACCTCTTGGTGGGGTAAGTGTGAGGATCGCGACCTGGTACTAACATGCAGCAAAACCCGTTTCCAGCATCTGGAGCTCTGGTGAATACCGGTTAGTACTTAGACCCCGAGCCTTGGGTGTGCCCATGTCATCCCCAGGGTGACCTGCTTGTATTCCTTTCCTGCTGGTCGGTGGGAGCCTCTCTACTGCTATAGATACTGATCTCCGAGCCCGACCCCTGACTGCAACATACGTACTACTAATACTCTACTTTAAACATAAGAATCCACTTTTATGCTGGTATAATAATGCAGCCTTTCCTTTCAGGCATAGGAGTATGTGCTGTTTTTCACTTGTATTCCAGAGTGACATGCCACCCTAGTGTTAGGCCTCTATGTAGGCCTGTCTCCTGCTTGAGCTCAGAGATAACTAATACTGCCTAGGCTGCTGTAGGGTAAAACTGTCAATCCATAAAATCTTCAGCCTTCTTTCATTTATTCCTGACAGCACCTTTTGGATTATTCAGTCTGTTGTCTGTGCCATGCTGATAGGACACCCTTAGAGCACATATGCACAGACAGGGATAGAATACAAGTAATTACTTACAAATTAAAAGTCCAAGTAATCTCCAAAAGGTAACAGTGCACTAGTTTAACAATTCCAGAATGGAGGTTCAGATAATTACAAACTACTATTAGTGACAGGTTCTCTTTAAACATTTGGCTTAGCCAATTGGAGAAACAATGTATTATCTTACCATGCAGACAAAGGGTGTAATCACAGACCAGCACCACTTCATCCAAGGGAAGGGGCGGTAACCAATCATGCGAGCAATATCATCCATAAACCTATCAGCACCTGTAGGGGCAAAAGAAAAGAAAATGTCATTGGCTGGCAACTGTATCTTGCTGTGATAAAATATGGACCTGCCAGGAAAAGCATTAAAAAGATGAGCACTTTCATTGTACAGCAGATCGGGAGCAGTGAGTGTGACGGACCTGGCATGTGAAAAGCACTCTGGGAGACGCTCTGCAGCATGTTGGCAGCTTGGCGCCCAAGGACAAAGCTATATTAAGAAGCGTTACGGGCCTAGGAGCGCATGCTCTGGATTACAGCCAGCAGACGTTCACGCTCCAGCTCCTTCATCGGCTTAGGAAGGGTTTGTTGAGCACTGAGAGGGTTTAATGTCAGGAATTATTACTTAAAGTACAATATATCTAAAGCCAAAACTTTCTTTTTTGTGTTTTTATTTTTAGAGCTGGGCATGATTAAAATTGTGATCAGTTTTTTTTTTTTTGTCTGTCCCACATATTTCCTTCACTTTGTCTCAAAGACACAACAGGAGTCGAGAAGAAATCTCGATTTCCCTTCCATTGAAGAGAACTCCACTCCTGAAGAGCTGTCATAGAAAGATAAAAAAGCGAAGGGAGAAAAATTCTAAGTGGTCCATCAAGTCTGCTCATTTTTTAACCTTTTTTCCAAAGCTTGTATCAAGTGTGTTTAAATTCCCTTACTGTTGATGGACCTTCACATCTTCTGCTGGAAATCTGTTCCAAGCATCCACTATTCTTTTGGTAAACTATAATTTCTTAGGTTAGTTTTAAACTATCCTCCTGCTAGTTTAAAGGGTTGAGTGACCTTTAGCCAACAAATATTCCATGCAGTTCCTATTACCCTCATTAAAAAGAAATATGCATTAATGCTACTTCCATATCTGTAGACCATTTTCACATAGAGAAGATGTAGGGCAGTCATTCTCAACCAGGGTTCTAGGAAACCCTAAGGTACCTTCAGAGATTGTCTTAGGTTCCTTGAGTTGTGGATATTTGACCTTCCATCTGATGGTACCTTGATAGTTCAATCACCTCTTTAGTGGTCTGTAAGGTTGGCATTCTGTAAGGGGGGGCATTTATCCCACTAACCACCAATGTAAGAGACATTTGTCTCACTTACCACTAATGTAAGGACATTCCTCCCATTGACCACCAATGGAAGGGACATTCATCCTACGACTGACCAATGTAAGGGGCATTCTTCCCAATAACCACCAATGCAAGGAACATTTGTCCCACTGACCTCCATTAATTAATTTTAGCCTTTGTGCCCAGAGACCTAATGATTATTTCAAGGGTTCCTCTGAGGTAAAAAAAAATGAGTGTATATTAGTGCAAGGGATATTCATTCCTCTGACCACAGATGTAAGGAACACGTCTCACTGACCACAAATGTAAGGGACATTCCCCCCACTGACTCCAATATAAAGGACATTCCTCCCATTGACCACCAATTGAAGGGACATTTACCCTTCTACCCATCAATGTAAGGGGCATTTTTCCCACTGACCATGAATGCAAGGGACATTCACTGTCCCCCATTAATTAACTTTAGCTTGGGTGCCCAGAGACCTGAAAAATATTTTTATGGGTTCCTCTGGTGTAAAAAGATTGAGTGTACATTAGTGAAAGGGATACTCAACCCTCTGACCCCCAATGTGAGGGACATTCCTCTCATTGACCACTAATGGAAAGGACATTCAACCCACTGCCCACCAATGAAGAAGAATTATTTCCAGTGACCACCAATGTAAGGGACATCCGCCCCACTGACTCCCATTAATTAATTTAGCTTGGGTGCTCAGAGACCTGATAATTGTTTCAAGTGTTCCTCTGGGGTAAAAAGATTGAGTGTACATTAGTGTAAAAGATATTCAACCCACTAACTACCAATGTAAGGAATGTTCATCCCACTGACCACCAATGTAAGGTATATTCATCCCACTGACCACTAATGTAAGGGACATTCAACCTACTGACCACCAATACAAAGGGCATTCGTCCTACTGGCTCTCATTATTAATACATTATAGCAGGGTTCCCAGAGACCTGAAATTATTTCAAGGGTTCCTCTGGCATAAGAAGATTGGGAAAAGCTGATCTAGGTTTCTCTCTTTATATGTATTGCAATAAAAACCTTACCAAGGTTCTAACCCACTTTTACTCTATCCAAAATTAGATAAAATGTTTTGACTTTAGACACATTTTAATATTACAGAGGTTTGTTCAGTAGTCACTATGTTCACTCACATGATTTCCATCAACGTCTTTATGTAAGAGCTTGTAGCAACAACATTTATTGATACCTATATAAATGTTTCCTAAACAGACTACATCATAAAGTTCCATAAGGCCATTTGCTGCCAGGGTGGTAAAAACAAGCAGTTGAGCTGCTTCCAACTGCACAACTTAAGAACAAACTATTTTGCAAATGTTGCAGTTACAGGGTTGAGACAAACCATTAAACACTGGCAGGGATGCTTACAGTACAATGAACAGTAAAACCTTTATCCCATAGCTGTAACTGCTTATACAGTGTTAGATGGAGTTTAGCTTCAATTTGTTAGTGTGTCTATATCTGCTAGCATGTCTAACACTCCCCTTCCCCCAGACTGAAAATGCTGTTGTCCAAAGGTGCTCCCTGTGCTCCTGCATCCAGAGTGGGCGCACTCTAATACAGAATGTGTGTTATTGGCCAGATCACAGGTAAAAGCAGGAGGGAAAAAGCCTGAAAAAAACTAATGGAGCCACCACATCTAATGATTGGTAAGCAGCAATATATAAAATTTTTGGTTTTGGGTTTAATACCACTTAAAAAAATAAATCATATGCTGTATAGTGTAATACTAAGCAATTCCTATAGGGGTCTCTTCTCTACTATAATTTCTAAATGCGTGTAAACCTACACGTTCCACCAGTAATCTAAAACTGCATTTCTGGCCAGATAGAAATCTATTATGCTGATTCTGCTGAATTGAAAATGACTCATTAAGGCACGGTGTCTACTGAAGAAGCCAAATAACTCCATAGGGCAGGTGACCATAAGACTTCATGGGACTTTCTTCTAGTCCTGAGCTGAATATTTTCCACCCTGAAGTGATATAATAGACTGATATAATGGAACTGATGTAATAGATAGGGGAGAGTTAATATCCATACCATCTCCCAGAGAATATTACAGCAGATTTTCTGCATCAGGGGTCCTCCCAACTACCTGGATCAGTATAAATGGTACCTAAGGGTAAATATATAAATTCCAACATATCCGATCACAACAGATCCTTGGATTTGGTGCCTGCTTTTGTTTTCTTTTATTAAGGCTTTTTCCCCCTTTATTTTCCTCTGTTGATCCTGCCAGTAATGCACTCTTGGGTCCAAGGGTAACAACAGTCACTCAATGCACGGTATCTATGGAGAAGCAGCAAGGGATTCCAAAATCTGCAATTAGGATGAGAACTACAGTAGTTGGGTATTGCACCTTACGGTCCTCTCCCTTCTCTAGCCCAGGGAGTGTAGAAGTACTCACACTGTCCTGTCCAGTTACCTTGATGGGTTGCAGCTGCTTTCAGGCCTTACACTGGGCTGGCTCCTTCCCTGCTGACAGGATGTCCACCCTAAGTGATGGTGGTACAGTGGAGATCCTTCCATCCAGCACCAGCCCAGAGGTAGACTCCCAGGCTCCACTATCCAGCACCTTCGCTCGGTCCATCTTTCACCCGAACACAACAACTTCCCGCTGCACAGGCTCTGCCACATTTAAGGGTTGCTCTCAGCCACCATGCCCAGTTTCCTGCCTGGGGATTGGCCACGTTCCCTTAAACATGCAAACCCAGGCTTCCTCCCCTCCTCCACCCCTCTTTTAGAAGGTTCCTCCAGTTTCTAGAAGGGAGGCAGGGCTCCAGAAGCCCCGACCTACAGAGCATTTTAGCCTGTCATGAGGTGACCTCTCTACTTCACTTCCAGGCTGACCATCCCAGGCTTCTAACAAGCCTCTGACTCACAAAAATCCTATCTATCCAAACTAGAAGGTGCTACATGGATATAAGGGGAGACTCTGTTCAGCAATTCTGGATGTAAGGTGAGACTCTGTTCAGCTTTTCTGGGATATAAGGGGAGACTCTAATAAGCTCTTTTGGATATAAGCAGAGACTCTGATGGGCTCTCTTAGATGTAAGGGGGATTTTGAAGGGCTCTCCTGAACGTCATGGGAGGCTCTGCTGGGCTCTCCTGGATGTAATGGGGGGACTCTGTTTTGCTCTCTTAAATGTAAGGGAAGGATCAGATGGGCTCTCTTGGATCTAAGAAGGGACTCTGATGGGCTCTCTTGGATCTAAGAAGGGACTCTGATGGGCTTTATTGGATCTAGGAAGGAACTCTGGTGGGCTCTCTTGAATCTAAGGGGGGAACTCTGATGGGCTCTCTTGGATGTAGGGGAGACTCTTATGGGCTTTGCTGGATATAAGTGGGGACTCTCTTTATATAGATATTTTTTGTAAAATTCACAATGTGGCCCTCATAACGAAACGTTTTGAGACCTATGCCTTATGTTGTGGTATATGAGTAGTAAGTATAGTTGGAGTGTGTTCTATAGTCCAGCTAGGTAGGACTCAGGCAGGGTTGACAACTTTACTTGGGATTTACATATAATTTACATGTAATGCTGTCACCACACTACAAGAGCTTAGGAGCTCACTGGATTTTTTTGGTAGGATCAACAGGTGTTTTCTCAAACTGGGATAGAATTCCTGGAAAGGTACATGTATTATGAAGTACTGAATATATTTTTTTAATTATTTTTCCCAGATATACATACACTTTAAATGGAATTCAGAATGTAGATGGACAAAAGGATGACCAATAGAATATCAATAGAAATGCTGAACAAAGAGAAGTTATTTTTTTTTTAAATATCTAAAACATTGGATCCTTGGCATGATGTCCACTGACTTACCATACACCCAAGCAATGACTACGCACTGCCAAAACGTCTGCCACAAGAGGGTCATTCCACTGGCAGAATAATAATCAAACAGCTGGAAGACATACATCCCGCCCTGGGGAGAGAAATACATACGTGACATATCATGTGTAATACACATTACACCCAACCCCCCCTTCCTTCTGATGATGTTTTCTTCTAAATTATTTAAATTCTTGAAACTACTAGAGAAGATCAGTTGGGAAATACAAATCACATGGCGAGCTACTATCATCAGGTCTGCTGATCTGCCTGGAGGCATGCTGTCTTTAAGAATTACACAACACAAAATTTAGAACCACTGTAAGTAGGCTTCATTTATTTGCTTTATTACAGCAAAACACAGCCGTCCCATTTTGGGGGCCAAAATCCCCCTTCATCAGGGCTTGGACTATGTAGCAAAGAAGTGTCTATTGAAGTCACAGCAAAAACTCCTGAAAATAAGCAACAAATAGGAGGAAAAAAATCATATGGAATTATGCCTCCATCCATGACCAAGTGCTGAGGACCTCCCTATCACTCAGCTCCAGATTCAGGTGCAATCACATAATAATTTGACTCCAACGGACACCTTTCTGCTACATTGTCCAAGCCCTGATGGAGAGAGATCGCCAAATGATCTTCTCAAGAGTCCCAGATTCTTGATTATTATTATAAAATGTAACAACAGGAAGGCAAAAGACCATCAACGCATTTTGGGAGACAAAATCCTACTCACTTGGCCAAAAAAGCAGGTACAATCACTTAGTCATTTTTTTTCATCTGCCAGAAATTTATATCCAGGAGTTTTCAATTTTAACTCCAGTAGACACCTTTTTGCTACATTGTCCAGGAACTGATGAAGAGAGAGTGCCAAATGGCCATCTCAAAAGTGCAAGCATCTATATTGTTATTATCACATGAAACAACAGAAATGGAAAAGCCATCCAATGAATTTCGGGGGCCAAAATCCCCCTTCATCAGGTCCTGGACAATGTAGCAAAAGCTATCTATTGGAGTCAAAGCAAAAACTCCTGGAAATAAACCATAAACAGGAGAAAAAAAAATTATATGCGCTTGCATTTACGGCTCCATGATGGAGAGGTCCAGAAGATGCAAGCGCAATCACCTATTAATGTTTTCTCCTGTAAGATATTTAATTCCATGAGTTTTCACTTTGACTCCCACAGACATCTTTTTGCTACATTGTCCAAGCCCTGATGAAGGGGGAGTGCCAAATGATCATATCAAGAGTCCAAGATCCTTTATTATTAATATTATTAATATCACAAGTAACCAAAGGAAGGCAAAGACATCCAACGTGTTTCGGAGGCCCCAAAATCTCCCTGCATCATGGTTTGGACAATGTACCAAAGAGGTGTCTATTAGACTCAAAGAAAATACTCCTGGAAATAAATCTAACAAAGGAGAAAAGATGAATATGTGATTGCACTTCAACCAAGTGTTGGGCAGATTCCATCACTCAGCCTTAGATGCAGGTGCAATAACTTACCAAAGATTTACATATAGCCAGGAGTTTTTCCTTGACTCCAATAGATACCTTTTTGCTACATTGCCCAATCCCTCAGGAAGAGAGAGCATCAAATGATCATCTCAAGATTCCCAGATCCATTATTATTATTATCACATGTAACAACAGGAACTCAAAAGACAGATAACATGTTTCGCAGGCCAAACTCCTGCTTCATCAGGGCTTGGACAATGTAGCAAAGAGGTGTCTGTTGGACTCAAAGAAACAACTCCTAGATATAAATTTCTGAAAGGAGAAAAGGTTAATATGCAATGGAGCCTGCATCTACGGATGGGTGCGTGGGGACGTCCCCATCACAACTGCCGAGATGCACTTCTTCTCTCAGGGTGACAACCTTCACTCCTGCACTGTGTCTATGGAGGAGCAGCATTGTCACCCTGGAACATAAACTTCCCCTTCTATTGTTTTCCATAGCATGGATGGGAAGAGTTCTGTACTCTCAGGGATAACTAGGAATATACTGTAACTGATGACTGCCACACAGGAAGAAGGCAGAGAAAGATATCAGCTGGCAAGGGTTTTAGAAGAATCAACATTAAAAAATGAAAAGGAACCAATATAGAAAGTTCACTAATATACAGTATAGTTTAACATCTGTTGGGATAAGATATCAGCCACACAAGGAGTGTGTGGTATTCAATCAGTCGGCTGACTCATAAACTTACATTGTGGGAAAGAGCATTACATTGTGTAGAACTGAAAAGCAGAAAGCAGAGCCTGCATATGTAATGAGCATATATAACTTGCACTTACTGTATATATCTACAAACTATATAGAGAAGCAACATTTTTATTTTAACTTTTTAACGCACATATTTCTTTACATCAATCTTACCCTTTTACACTCCCTTTAAATACATCTTAACTGGTTGACTTGTTTTCACTTGTTCCATAATATGTACACATGAGTGCCAGAAGTAGGCGTTGGCATTTGTCCCTGTAGTTCTGGGATCTCATTGGCATAATTGTTTTGTAGAGAGTTAGCCAAATAAAAGAAAATACTAACAGCTTAGCAATACAACACAGCGGGGGAGAAAGCAAACATCATGTATAGTGCAGGGTGCTCATACCCAATTCCCCTTGGATACTGAGAGCAAAAGCAAAAAGCTTGCCCATGTGAGATCAGCACTGCTTATACAGTATATAAATTACAATAGTGTCCTGCTGTCCAGAACAATCCATCAGGCATGTTTCCTTATATAATAGACTAACTTAGAAAGTAAGGGATCAATTCTGATTTTTCTGGTTTTTAAAGTGGACCTGAAGTCATTTAGGGAAGAATTTCTATGTTCAAGGGAACATCCAGAAATGTTCATTGTGCCTAAACAGTGCAGGAAAAATCTGCCTTTTGTCTTTAATTCCCCTGTAGATTGGTAACGTGAGATCATCTAAGTCACTGCTGTCCCTGACTGCTAGTTTTGAGAGATTTGATGTCACTACTGCACTGTTCACTGTTCTACTTGCTGGAGAAGAAGCTGTACCTGACGACCCTTAGTGCAAGGATCTCCCTGCTTCTGCTTAACACATTTTATGGATCTGTATTTCCTGTACCTCTTCTGCTGTTTTGTTCACTATTCCTCCATTAGTCATCAGATCACCAGTTATCAGAGAGGCAGCTCTAACATGAGCAAGCTCCATTACTCCATCAGAGCGAGGCATCAAATATATTGCAAGTTTAATGCTGGTGGTTTAAATCTTACAATGGCTTGATCATGCCACCCTCTTCCTCAATGCTTGGTCCTTGCAGGAAGGTGACCTGTTCTTCCCCCATACATAGAAAGTACTGCGTAAGGGCCCAGAAGAAGCAACAGAGCAGCATGTTTCTGTGTATGCACTAAGCCAATAAAACCATGAAGGTTGTGGTGGGAAGGGATTTAAGGATTCAAAAGCCCTCCAACCAAATCAATGTTTTTTTTTTAGAACTGAAGGTATCTATATGGCTTATTCCATTCCTTATCTAAAAAATAAGGGAATTATCCCTCATTTTAGTAAATGAATGTAGCCATGGAGATCATTCCTTTAAACCCCAATGGCTAAATCCATATCCAGAATTGCTGGAGTATAGTGAAAATATGGCCTTTTTCTGGTCATAACCAGTTCAATGTACGGAAAGTATGGATTCTATGGAGTAGGGCTGGAGACCCAACAAGCAATTATAATCATTAAGGTTATGGTGGGAAAGGAGTAAAAGATCCAAAGGCCTCCAACCAAATCAATGAGTAGCACAGCTGAGCCTTTTTGGAACTATAGGTATTTAAGATGGCTCATTCCATCATATATCCCAAAAATAAGAGAACTATTCGCCATCTTAGTAAATGAAAGGAGCTATGCAGAGCATTCCTTTACACCCCAATGGCTAAATCTCCACCCAGAACTGCTGGGACATAATGCAAACATGGCCATAACCAGTTCAGTGTATGAAAACTATGGTTTCTTTGGAGTAGGGCTTGAGACCCAACAAGCAAGTATAACTATAAAGGTTATACTTGCTCGTTAGGTTATGTTTTCTTGTACTCCCCAAACCATTAAGGATAAAGGACTAAAACAGTGGTTTCCAAACTGTACTCACCTCTGTCAGCATAGAGAGATCTATGAGGAACATGACTGCACAACAAATGGCCACAGCCACCTCTCTCTGGTAACGGAAATAGTAGCGGGCTGGGAGCAGGTCCAGGATGGCAGTAATGAATCCTTCTACGCCAACAAACTGTAATGAGATATAAAGCTATTCTCAGTACTGTAAACGTTACATTTCAAGGTACTTTATGTACTGAACACGATCCAAGAACATCTCCCCAGCTATAGGAGGCAGTAAAGCAGCACCCCGGTGTCACATTACTGGAGAACACACTATCTAATGTCCATGGCCATGTGTACATAGCTAATGTATGAGTATCTCTTGAAACTGGACCGCAAAGAGGGAACCCATGGAGAAGCTGGGAGCCCATTAAAACTCCATATAGATTGTGTCCTTGATAGGAACCAAACCTAGGATCCCAGTACCTGCAAGACAAGAGTACTAACTGCAACTTATATTGTTCTCATTGTCAAACACCTGTAAAGGTAGACAGTTGCCATGTTCACCAAGGACCAACGTTCACTGCATAAACATGCTATCTACTATTGGTACGCTGGTCAAGCCTGGCACTGCATGAAGACGGTACTATATGTACATTGTCAGGCTTCATGCAATCTAATGTCTATACCATAGCCATATGTGCATAGCTATTATATGAGTATGTCTTGAAACTGGACCCCATGGAAATATTATGAGCCCATTAAGACTCAATATATAGTATTTTCCTTGATGGGATCCAAAACCATGACCCCCCAGTACCTGCAAGACGAGTGCTAACCGCAACTCAATTTGTGCTTATTACCTTACAGAACTTGAGACACTGCGAACACCTATAAAGATAGACAGTTCCTAAGTTCACCAAGTACCACCATTCACTGCATGAACACCCCCCTTCTCTTGGAACACTGGTACAGCCTGGCACAGCATGAAGACCTCAAGCTTCATATGTCTGTCCCCCTACCAGCCGTGTTCAGTGGTAGCTTCAACAATAAGGCCTCCAGGGCCCCCTTGAGTCGCAATCGGCTTTAGGGCCCATAGGAGGCTGTACTCGCTTCAACTTCTCCTCCACTAACTCCATGTCCCCAGTCCTTTGTACACAATACCCCACCAAATGTCGTAAAACACGTATGTTTACCTGGCTGTCCAAACCGAGAAGTAGCAGCATAAAAAAGAACAGAGCGGACCAGAGAGGCGCCACTGGCATCAGACTCACTGCTCGTGGATATGCAATAAAAGCCAGTCCTGGCCCTGTGCAAGGGAAATAAGTCCATTATTATATAAACTATCTCTAGTCCTAAGATGTATTTATTTTTAGATCTAACTAATCGGTATATAAATAGATATGTATACAGTGGACCTGAAAACTACTGCAGTGGGATCATTTTAAAGACACATAACCCTTTTTGCTGTATTTAGCTATATGATAAACTTTTACATATACATATTGTACATATTATGGTTTACAAATTGGTTTCTTTGAACGTGCAATCCATAATATGTACAATATGTATATGTAAATGTTCCCATATCTTACCAAAAACAAATTGAGATTCATTTTTTTTGGACAGATATTTTGCTACACACAGCTGATTTTCTGTCCTGTAACTCCATCAAACGGCACCCCATTTTTTTACTCCAGAGGAACCCTTGAAATAATATTGAAGTCTCAGGGAATCCCTGTTAGGAATGGTAAATTGAGGGCCATTAGTAAAATGCCCCTTACATTGCTGGTCAGTGGGTAGAATACCCTTTACTGTAGAGGAGAGTGGGGGGAATATCCATTACATTGGGGGACAGTAGGAATAATATCTTTTACATTGGGTGTCAGTGGAAAGAATACCTCTTACATTGGGGGTCAGTGGGACGAATGTGTCTTACACTGGTGATCAGTAGGAAGAATGCCTTTCACATTGGGTGTCAGTGGGAAGAATTCCTCTTACATTGGTGGTCAATGGGAGGAATGTCCCTTATGTTGGTGGTCAGTAGGAAGAATGCTCCTTACATTGGGTGTCAGTGAGAAGAATGCCTCTTACATTGTTGGCCAGTGGGAAGAATAACCCTTACCTTGGTGGACAGTGGGAAGATTGTCCCTTACATTGGGAGTCAGTGGGAAATATACTCGGTACATTTGTGGTCAGCGGGAAGAATACCCCTTACATTGGTGGTCAGTGGAAAGAATGCCCCTTACAGTGTTGGTTAGAATGCCACCTTTACAGTTAGGTAAAATTGTATCTAGTGTCATCCTACTGCCTGTGCCAGTAACCTAAGGGTTTCATGAAACCTTGGTTGAAAATGGCCGGTCTATACAATAACAGGCATCTCAAATGCTGTATGTTAGCTATATGATAAAATGATAAGATATGGCAATGTTTACATTATGTGGTCTAACTGAAAGAATGTATATTTATTGAAAACCTTCTTAACAACAATCTACCTGATTCAGCCACTTTTGAGATGTCTACCCCCTGTTCATTAGCCATGAATCCGAGAATGGAGAAGACCACAAAGCCAGCAAAGAAACTGGTCCCACTGTTTATTAGTGCAAGGATAAAGGCATCTCTGTAAGAAACAAAAGGTAGGTTAGAAACATGTATGTATCTAGATATCCTAACTTTATTAGAGTATAATAAACTCTAAGGGCTTCCTTTACAAAGAAGAAGGAAAGAAAAGTGTTGCCAATAGGAGTGAAATAGAGGAACAATAAAGGTTAATGTTCCTCTATTTCACTTCTGCAGGTAAGGAACAATCAAACATAGGTTACAAATTAAGGGCAAGTACTGGCTTATACTGTATCCCCAAGTATATTAGACTGCTCTACTGAGCGGCAGACTGTAGACCAAATGTCTCCTGGGAAACAGGGCGATTTTGGCAACAGGACGACCTTGCATCCAACTGGTTTCCAACTTGCTCCAGACTGTGGGGTGAAGCCTCTCTATTCATAACTAGTGGGTACCTGTCTCTACCTCTCTGCACTTCCCACTCAGGATGCTCCCTGTGATGCAGACTGTGCTATTATGGCACCCAGCATTCCAAAATGTCCACTGAAATCTCACAGTAACTCCATAGTTGTAGCCTGGAACCAATGGCAGAGGACACATAAGCCATGAGGCTTCTTTGTTTACTAGTACAGGCAAAAGAGGAAGTGATTTAGCAATCAAAGGGTTGCATAAAACCACCTGCTCTTACCTGCCCACAGGTGGATGGGGCATAGAACAAGCCCCTGCTGGCTTCTGGTACCTTGTCAGAAAGAGAGTGACCCATTGTAATGGGCTTGTGAATGTGGTGTAATGAGCAAACATATTTCTTCGAAGACACAAGACCGCAATGAAGGTTGACATATTTTAATCCTCCCCCACTCTTTTCCAAACTAAACTGAGTTGGCTGGAGTTGGGCTTTAACTCAATATCAACTTCACACTTTTGTCTTCTGAGGATAACAATTATTGTCTGTTCATTTCTCAATGTGTAAATGTGGAAATTCGAGGAGCGCAGGAGAAGCTGAGAAGTGTCTCTATCCAGCTCTATTTATAAGCTAAGAAAGTGACAGCAGCCCCAGGAATGTTTGTTGCTGACCATCTGTTGAGTTACAAGTCACTTCCATAAAGCGAGGAAGGGGATGCAGATTCCTGAGGGCCATGCTTCTACCTCGTGGACACAGCTTGGCGGACTAAGATCTGCATTACAAACAACAGCTGAGGTGTCATGGATGCACAGTTCCCTGGTCTTCCCTTACAGCAGGTGCTGAGGGCCAGCAACCCGACTTTAATACTGCTGGTGAAGCACATGTCTGGTCCGTTAAGTGGACTTGTCGTCACAGTTTCAGGCTCACTGATTTAATACCAAACCGCTATTCAGAGCTGAATTTCAGCTGAAGTACAAGTAAACCTGAACGGGATGGAGCGTACTAGACAGTAGGGTACTTGGACACATCTGCCACAATCCCGTATATTAGGAATTACATGTTGTAGGGTGCATGAGGATTTCTTCTTCAGGTGGGTACCTTTGAGGCTGATGGGGTGACTCTGAGGGGTACAAAATGCACCACTCCAGATGACAGGTTGGATCACAAGATCCTTCCTCAATGCCAAGTAGCCTCCAGGTGGGATCACTGAGCCAATCAGAATTTCTCCCTTCTTTGGAACATTTCCCTAGGCTATACTTATTCTTTCCCTAACCATCTGGAGTCTCTTTATCTACAAAAACTCCCCACATTACGGACATGCCAAAATTACCCAGCAGAGGTTACATATAGCCTCTGTGGGTTCAAGGTTGCAACTCAAGAGAGCTGTGTCCAATCAGACACAGTGACACAGGCTCCCCCAAGGTGGCCATCATGAGTCCAGTGCAGAGGACAAGTCAGTTCCCTTCAAGGTTTCCCTAGGACCATAGGAGTGAGTGGTCTGCAGACTATCTCACTCCCTGCTCTGCCATTGGGGGCTACCAGCTTATTCTCCAAATAGCATACTAGTTTTACCTTTTCCTTTTTCTTTCCTTTGTTACATCCCAGTGCTGCTGACTTCCATTTGCTGACAGCCCATTTGTGGCCACTTCCACTCTACATCCATGCCAGAAACTGCTGACATCGTTTTTCAAGGTGAGTTTACTGATAGTGACAACAACGTAGATGGCAACTGTCAATGCCCTCTGATCCACCATGGATTGCTCTTCAGTGGTCTAACCCTAGTGTAAACTACCCCTTAATGTAATTTCAAAAGTAATTTTGAATCTTTATAAATCGGCAGCTTTTATTAAAATAATCTCTGTGATACTGCCATTAAGGTTCTTGTTCAGGAACTTCCTGTTATAGGGTGACAACTCTTTATACCTGTTGTATTCCCTATCAGGTAGGTCTATAGGTGGCTGTTCCAACACACATTACAAAGGCATGGTCTACTGTTGTCTAAATCAGGACACCCAACCTGAGAAAGCAATCATTAGAGTGCATGAAGACCGGAAGTGGCCACTAAGAGGCTGCAGGGGATCAGAAGCATTGAGATAAAACAAAGTATAAAAAAAACCGCCAAAAACAAATATTCTGTTTTAAATAATTGCAATGGCTTATGATACTCTGTACTTTAGTACACTAAATGCAGTTCAGTTGGGGTTTACATTTACTTTCTTACTAAAAATACACTATACTTTGCCTGTAAGGTGAACTTTACTGGAGTCAGTTACTTAGGCCGCAGTCCGTGTGAGTACACGGGAACGCAATGTGAGGGGTGTTTATCACCCACTTGGCAGAGGAATGAGCAAACAAGTTTACCCCACATAACTATGAGCTCCTTTCATTGAGGCCTGAGGACTGTATGTGCTCTACGGCTCATCCTCTACCCACACAGCCATACAAGGCACCAGTACGGGACATAACATGATTTATCCCTGCAGGAAAAAAACATCTCCACTCAAAAACAACCAGCGGGAGGCTTGTCTTCCCATCCTCCAATGTTACAAAAATAGGAACATTTCATTCCTCCATTCTCCTGAGCATAGAAAAGGCCAAAGAACGCCAAAAAAAAGTACAACGTCGATATTGTCAACAAACCACGTACTGACTACGAGTCAACTAATTTCATGACGTTTGTACTTGTCCTTTCATATTTTACGTACAATTTTTGGCACAACTTTTTTTTTTCCAAGTACAGCTAAAGTCGTGTCTTCATGTAGCGATCACTTCTGTGGTTTCTATTTGCAATACATTTTCTAATTTTACTTTCTATTTACAATGCATTTTATTGTTGATGTTTTTATGTGTAATTTATTTTCTATTCTTTTATTATTATTCTGTCTAATAATTTTTCAAGAAGATCGATTCTCACTGTGTTTGTTATAAATTATTACTTTTATTATTATCCATAATAAATTTTTACTTTTCTTATTATCCATTATAATCGAATATCCATTTTATGTTACAATGAAGTTTATGTATATTACGTTTATATTTTATATTTATACTGTATAGACGTTGATGGATCCTAATATGAACTGAATCAATATTGGAATCCATTTGTTTATGACCGTTTTAGGTTTATCTTGTAGCCTTTGAAGACAGGATAAATGCTTAAAGCCCCTGAAACACATTGGCTGTTCTATATTGTCTAGTCTAGTTATGAACATCAAAATTATTCAGACCAGCCCAGGGAGTCCAGTGTGTGGTATGGTATAGCCTGAGCCCCTGGGCTGGTCTGAGCAGCGTCCATCATTTCATTATACTGGTGTTACTGGAAGCATTTTGGGACGTTGCTCCCTCTCTCCATACCAGCGGGGTTATTTCCAACTTGGAGGGGTGCCATAAGGTCTTCTTTGCAGCATCAAAATATGCAATTACTTTGGACACTTACACCTTTTGTGTGATGCACCCTTTAGAGTTTGTACAAATGTGGGATGGGGGCAGTGACAACAACTACCCCTGCAAACTACAATAGCAGAACTACTATAATAATCCATTTCATTTTGACCATTTTTATGTCTATTTTACAGCCTTGAAGGAGGGGGAGATCCTTGAAGCCCTCAAAAAACATTGCCTGTTTTATTTGATCTAGTCTAGTTATGAACATCACCAATGTTGAATTATTTTAGACTCTTAGACCTTAAGTGATGCTCTCTTTAGATTTGAACACATGTGAGGTAGGGGCAATGATGTCATCTACTCTTGTAAGCTCCAAGAGCTGAACCATTACAGGAATTTGTTTGATTATGACCATTTTTTATATCTATCTTATAGCCTTGAAGAAGAAGGATCCTCAGGCCCCCGAAAAATGTTGGCTATTCTATATTGTCTAGTGTAGTTATAAACCATCACAAATATTCAATTACATTGGACTCTTACACCTTTTGTGTGATGCTGCCTTTAAATTTTGTACAAATGTGGGAAGGGGGCAGTGACAACAACTACCCCTACAAGCTCCAACAACTGAATCACTATAGGAATCCATTTGCTTATGACCATTTTTTTGTCCATTTTACAGCCTGGAAGAAGAGGGATATCCATAAAGCTACCCAAAAATGTTGGCTGTTCTATATTATCTAGTCTAGTTAAGAACATCACAAATATTGAATTGCTTTGAACTCTTAGACCTTTTTAGGTGATGCTCCCTTTAGATTTTGAACACATGTGAGATGGGGGCAATGATGTCATCTACCCTTGAAAGCTTTAAGAACTAAACCATTATAGGAATCTGTTTGATTATGACCATTTTTTATGTCTATCGTATAGCCTTGAAGGAGGATCCTCGTGCCCCCAAAATATGTTGGCTTTTCTATGTTGTTCATATATGAACCATCACCACTACTACAATATTTTGAACTCTTAGACCTTTGTTTGTTGCTCTTCTCAGGTTTCATGCACATGTGGGATGGGAACAGTGACACTTTCTAAACGTGTAAGCTGCAACAACTGAATCTTTTTTTAGGAATCAATTTGTTTGTGACCGTCTTATAGCCTCAAAGAAGGGGAAGATCCTTAAGGCCCCCAAAGCAATTTGGATGTTGTATAGTGTCTAGTTATGAGCCATCACCAAAATTATATGCTTTGGACACTAAGACCTTTCATGTGGCACTCTCTTTAGATTTTTAACACATGTAGGGTGGAGGCAATGACATCTCCTACCCATGTTGGCTCCAACAACTGAACCATTATAGGAATCCTTTTGTTTTCTGACCATTTCATATTTATCTTAGGGCCTTCAAGAAAGAGGAGATCCTTAAGCGCGCCCGAAATGAATTGGCTGTTGTCTAGTTATAAACCACCACCACTGTCACTAGGCCCTGAATGGACAAAGTGACAGAGTCTATTTAAGCCACAGTTAAAAAAAATCTTCTGGTTATGTCATCTATACAAGAACATTTTATATATAAGCCAACATTATCCATTCTTACTTGTAGCAGTCATTGTTAAAACGATTATAGCTGCCCAAAGCTGTAAGTGCTCCAAGTCCTATGGCATAGGAGAAGAAGATTTGTGTCCCGGCATCAATCCACACCTAATGAGAAGACAGGATTACATTATAGGAGACAATGTCATTGAATGATACTTAGGCTATTGGCCATAAAAGATTTGCTAGGGAATCTTAATATACAATAATAAAATACATTTTCGGATAAATATACCCCATGGCTCTTTGTACAGTACAGCAGTCTTAAACATTGTCACACACTTTGTCAGCGGTTCATAGCCAAAAGGGAAGAGGTTGAATAACAATGGATAAAATATAATCATTTAGATCAGTGTTTCTCAACCCTTTCAGCACAAAGGAACCATTGAAATAATTTTCTGATCTCAAGGAATCCCTGCTAAACATTACTATATCTACAACTCATGATACATTAGTCTGATGGTCAGTGAGAAGAATGCTCCTTACACTTGTGGTCATTGGGATGAATCACGCCCTTACAAATCGCTAAAAAGATCAACATTGTCAGTGGCTTGTTGCTCTTAGAAATCAGTGATGTTCTACTCTTTTTTGGATTTACAATATACAGAACCATCCACTATTCTACTGCCAGCTACATCACCAACCTCACCTCAACGAATCACCCAAATCATCCTTTTTGCTCTTACCAAGACCTCCTATTCTCTGGCTGCCTAGTAACCTCTTCTTGCCTCCAGGACTACTTCAGAGCCTTTTCTATTTTCTGGAACTCCCAACCACAATATTTCCATCTATCGCCTACTCTGTCTGCCTTAAGTGATCCCTGAAAATGTATTTCTTCAGGGAAGCCTATCCCGCCTCTGAACTTTTACTTTTTCCATCAACTTATCTCTCTCATCTTGGGTTTATTACTTTTTGTATCTATTACCCCGTCTATTTAGATTGTCAGCGCTCATAAATAGGGCCTGCTAAACCCACTTGTATTGAATTCTATCATAACTGTGCTGCCTCTCTCATTTGTAAAATACTGGACAAACTGTTGGCACTATATAAATCCTGTATTATATTAATAAAAATAAAAATAATAGTTTGTTGGGAGGATAAAAGGTAAAACCTGGGTAAGGCATCTTCCATCATACATTATAAAAAGGCCCCTCATATCCCGTTGGGCTCAACATGGTTTATCTTACCTGGGCAGCCCCAAGCTTAGACCAGTCAGGCTTAAGGTAGTACAAAATGCCTTCCGTAGCACCTGGCAGCATGGCACCACGGACAAGGAGGATAAGTAGAACCACGTACGGAAACGTGGCTGTGAAATAGACAATCTGTAACAGAAACAAATCGTGTTTAGTGTTTTATTATAGTTAAATATTAATACCGAAGAACACTAAAAGGTAGTAAAGGTTTGGGTGCCATTGGGTATTACAAACTTTTTGCTGCTTTTTGTAATTCATATTTGATTGTATTTGTGTTTGTTTTTCTTGAATGTTGTATTGATATTCAAGTAATCTCAATGCATAAAGGATGCTCACTTATCACAGTTCTGTCGCATACTTAAAGACAGTCTAGCCATTACGTGATAATCTTCATGTCACAATGAATCAGTGTAAAGCACTTCCATTCAGAAGAAGGTCACTTCTAAGATGTGAATGAAGTTCATTTATTAAACAGACAGCTTGTCAAGAAGAGGTATTAGGTTGGCCAATCTCATTCAGCTGAGTACCCTTTCCTTGCTGAATAATGATATCTTGCTCATGGCTTGAGAAGACAATCACTATGATGAGAGAGAAAAAGCTCACTCGTTAAAAGGTGAATTTGCTGTGTCAAGGATGGTCACTCCTAATTAACTATCCCCTTTTGTTAAGAGGTATCTAAACCTTAACAATAAAATTTGAAGGCTTTTTTATATTATGTTTTTTGAAAATAATCTGTAGATCTTTCCAGAAATCCAGTGCTGTCTTATGTAGGGGATAAGCTGTCTTGGGCTTCAGGTTCGGTCTGCTCCCATGTTTGGCTGAACTTGTATATCAACTGTCAGTGCTGGGCTAATGAGCCATGGGCAGGGGCTTCCCCACCCTGAAGCTGTACCTACACAAAAGGTTGGCGATGTTTGTGACATCATTGACCTTATATGTCCACATAGCCATATTAGGTCAAATGTCATTGACCTAATTTGGCCATGTGTACATGCAGATGTGGGCCGGGAATGTTCTATAATTTTAGCATGTAGCATACATGTCTTATAGTATTTATCATACAAGTCTGTTATATGGTGGCCCAGTATTGAAAGAAAGATCATATTTTAAACATCTGCTCACTTTTTAATGTGTACATAGAGCTTGGAGATCCTTCAAACAATTTGCTAGATCGCCTTGTGATTTAACACTACACCTCTGTTCTTAGCTCTTAGCCAGGGACACAAGTTATCTCAAAGGATCTTGTGGTGTTTTCCATAACTACATAGGTTCTTATAGCAATGATTTTGACCTTATGAATGGGAAACTACCGAGAAATACTACTACTACTTAGCTTGTTTGAAACCAGCTGAGCATGGTTGAAGTGACCATTAACTTTAACAAAGGGATCTTGTGGTATTTTCCATATCTACGTAGAGTCTTACATACTGGAAGAAAGATCATAGATTCTTAGTACTGGAAGAAAAATCATATCTTAAAGGTCTGCTCCCTTTTTTTAATGTAAACATTGAGCTTGGAGGCCATACAAAGAATTCGCTGTGTGGCTCATGATTTAACACTACACCTTTGTCCTTATCTCTGTTCTTCCTATCTCTTATTAGCCAGTGACACAAGTTATCTCAAAGGATCTCGTGGTGGGTTCCAAAACTATGCAGATTGCTATAGCATGTATCACACAAGTCTATTGCTATATGGTGGGTCAGTATTGGAAAAAAGATCATATCTTAAAAGGTCTCCTCACTTATTAATATGATTATGGAGCTTGTGAAGAATATGCTACGTGGCCCAGTAATTTAACACTACACTTCTATTCTTATCTGTATTCCTCTTATCTCTTATTAGTTGGTGACTTAAGTTATATCACATTTATGCAGGCCATAGATGGGTCATTTATTGGCCGAATTTTCGTCCGCACGAAAAATCGGCTGATATTCACGCCATTAGTGGGGCCAGCCCGTCGGTCGTTTTTCGCGGATGTCCTCATTTATTTTTATTGGTCATGCTGGAAAATCCACGAAAAACGGCCGTTTTTCGTGGACATTGGTGGCAGCATCAGCAAGGGGGGCAACCAATTTTTTGTTTATCGGCTGACAATTCGGCCAATATACGGCCCGTCTATGGCCTGCCTTAGAACCAACATGGTCAACATAACAACATAATAAGCTCAAGAGAGTCAACCTTTCCCACAGTTATATTTATGTTCTTCTCATTTACTAAAAACTCATTAACCAATAAATAGGTAACTGGTTGATTAGATTTAATTTCACACAGAGATAACGAGCTTCTCATTAGCAATTTAAATGGCCTTGTTAGTAGACACTCAGTGGACAAGAATTATTCATTACAGGATCCTCTTTCACACTAGATGTACTCTTTGGACACAGCGTCAGTCAGCATTGAACGAAGTCTTATGCATTTCAGATGAGCCATTAGTGGTCTAACTTGATTGCTTTGATTAAAAGCTCTTCAATAAAATGTATTACAAATTTCAACAAGCGTTAATGATTTTGTGATTATAGACTCAACAGCTTGTGTGGACGAGTAATGAGTTTCACCAGTAACAAAGTCCACCCCTTGTGCTCCGATCAATCTGTTGGCACATACATATGAGTTCAGAAAATTTCTCCCTCTTGTGTGAACTTTTAAATCATCGGACTGAGATGCTAAAAGCCATCCCTCGCCTTCCCTGAAACTCCCCCCCCTTGCCATTATTTATTTGAAGGAATCCCTTATACTATACACACCTTAAATCATGCAGTCTTCTGGCTGGTTAGGTGATGTCACAGGTCCTTCCTCTTCTTTTCTAGTGGTGGTGGTGGTGGTGGGTGGTTGGGTGGTCTTTACTCCAGGACAGAGTGATGCTCATGTAATGACATGTCAGAGTCACTCTGTCCAGGAGTATTGTGAGACTAGATTGATTGAGGAAATACCCCATGATGGCTTGAGCTCACAGAAAGTGACTTGGATAACGATAGGCATCATTCAACCTGGAAGAACATTTTAGATGTTCTCTAGCTGGCAGAGCAGTGGGGTCATCATCTCCACCACGTCCAATTTGAGAACACTTTGCGTACATTGAGAAAATGCCGTCTGAATGGTGCCCAAGTCATGCAAGTGACCTTCTTTGTTCAGTAGTCAGCAGAGCTGCCATTCGGCATGGGATCTAGAAGCTAGTGGAGGTCACTATAGTAGGGATGCCAACTACAGTGATTTTCAGTTTCCCACAGGTATGGAACATACATACTTACATTGGTCCAAGATGTAAAACGTGCCATTTTGTTTGAGTTCAGACCCAATTTAACGTTGCCATATATCTGAAATAATAATTTGGGTTGGACTGACCTTTAACAGGGTACCACAAAAATAGTGAATGGTAATAGACCTTCATATTGACCATTCTTTGGGTTGGATGCAGTTTGGTTACTGCAACTTGGTAAATTGCTTTCTCCCCTTTTTAAACCACATCCATTGTCTTAGATTCACTAACATTATGTTAGAGGGATACTTTTCCTCACATTCCTTCTCTTTGTGTTACATTTGCTAGTGAACATGACCATTGTCCTCTGGTGTGTTAATCAGCAACGGGCTATGTCTAGAAGTGGGAGAATCGCTCCATCTCCCCCCTCCCTTTCTGCTTTCTATTCAGAAGTATATGAGTCCCAAGAGTGTGACCGGCCCTGCTGACCCAACAGATTGCAAGTCAGCAGCTGACACTTCAGGCATTCAGTAAGTGGGGAATTTTACATACAAGAGGCTCTCAGAACAATGCTGTAGATTTGTTACTGGGGAAGAAACGTTTACTGCTTTCCATCTGCTATAATTCAACATCCATTCACAAATCCTAGTTGTACTCTTCAATAGACAAGAGGAAGTTTAAATACATACAATCAGGGCTTTTTTTTCTGCGGGAATGTGGGGGAACGCAGTTCCGGCACCTCCAGCACAGAATGTATGTAATGGCAAGGGGTGCTGGGAGGTCTATTGATGCTGGTGGCTGGGGGATCTATTGTCACTGCAGAAAATATATTTTTTGCATGTCGGTCTATTGTTGCTGGTGGGGGATCTAATGTTGCTGGGGGGTCAATTGTGCCTGGAACGGATCTACTGCTAAGGGAGGGGTGTATTGATGCTGGCTGCTGGAGAGTCTATTGATGCTGGCTGCTGGAAGACCTGTTATTGCTGCTGGCGGCCAATTGTTGGTAGTTGTGGACCACCACAACTTGTTTACTGTGTGATTTGGATTCTCCCTCTGTCCTCCCCTCCTGTTTAGTGCTAGTTAGGTCAGTCCTAGCTAGATCCTTCTGGTTTCTTTTGTGTTCCCTCAGTCAGTGTCTGTACTTTGCAGAGACCGGGTTTAGGAAAGTCATTGTCTTTTGCATTTCCCAATACTTACTAAACTCTGTACTGCAGTTAGCAAAGGAAACATTGTATTGGATATTGAAGAGTTGAGCTGCCTGTGGATGGTGCTGAGTCAGCAAAGGACCATGTGCAGAAGACTGGGTCTAAAGAGGAATCTCATTGCATAAAACAGAATTTGAAACAGAACATCCCCCTCCCGCAGCAGCATGAGGAATGAAGACAAGCAATGTGCTGCTGTTGGGACTGCCATTAAAGAAAACCTGTTCACTGTTAGCTTGCATTAGTACACTTGGCTGTGGATAAGGGGGTATCACCAGCAGCTGGGTGAATTTGATGTGGGCAGGGGGGCTGATCGGCACGGCACATGGAGGGGGGGCAATTTCTTGAAACGATCCCCGTATAGCTCTCTGCAGCAGCTAAAAGCTGCCTTTTTCTCCTATTCCTCCCATTGGCTCTCAGCTGCTGCACAGAAAGCCATACAGGGAATTTGTTCATGTAATTGCCCCCCTGCAACACTATTCACCCTTCTTGTGCACCATATATTTTCTTTTTTGGGGGGAAGGGGGGGTTTGCAGGGCCTTATCAGGTTGACTGTATGGAGCCCCATGGTTTCTAACAGAAGCCCTGTTAGTACACCACACCATAGCACAGACAGAGGGCAAAAGTTAACCCTTGTCTAAATGAAGCTTGAAATGCTGTTGAAAGAGGATACATCAATAAGAACAATGAATGGTGAGCAATCTGGCTACCATAGATTCCCCTGGAAATTC